TTGATGCCTTAGGCGGTGCTAGAATTTTATTAAATTCAATGTCTCATAGGTTTAGGTTACATCTCCTTTTATAATAAATAAACCCTGGTACAAATTTACAAAAATAACCCTGCACCATAACGCGGGGCCGCACCCCGCACCCACATAATTGTAACCCCCTCTACGACACTTTCCTTTACTGGTATATTTATGAGTCATACCTAACAAATCTCAACCTTGGCGAATATCATGCCCCTTAGGAAACATTCAATGTGGGTTGGGTTACCTTACTTCTTTAACAACTTGAAACATTCAACAAGTCCAAGCAATGCATGAACTTGTCTATCATAACTGGCTTGGTTAACATATCAGCGGCATTCTCATCAGTATGTACCTTCTGAAACAAAATCTCTCCAGATGCAACCAACTCTATGATCTTGTGAAACCTTTCATCAATATGCTTGGTTCTAGCACGATATGCTTGATTCTTAGCCAAGTGAATAGTACTTTAATTGTCACAAAGCAACTGAACTTCACCTTGTTGAACACCCAACTCCTTCACTAAACCAGTAAGCCATAAAGCTACTTTTGCAGCTTCAATCGCTGCCATGTATTCAGCTTCAGTTGTAGATAATGCCACAACAGATTGAACAGTAGACTTCCAACAAATAGACCCTCCGCCAAGAGTAAAGGCATACCCTATCGTAGATCTTCTATTATCCAAGTCACCCACATAGTCTGAATCCACATATCCTACAACCAAAGGATTATCCTGCTGACTACCAAAAACAATTCCATGTCCCACAGTACCCTTTAAGTACCTAAAGATACACTTGATTGCTTCCCAATGTTTCTTATCAGGTTTAGACATGTACTTACAAACTTGACTAACTGTATGAGCTAAATCAGGACAAGTACATATCATTGCATACATCAAGCAGCCAACAGCATTAGAATACGGAACCTTTGTCATATCTTCATCTTCCTTATCTGTCTTAGGCCATTGTTCTGATGAGAGCTTAAAGTGATTCACCAATGGAGTGCTCATTGGTTTTGCGCTGTTCATTGCAAACCTTTCTAGAATTTTCTCAACATAACCTCGTTGAGATAGCCACAATTTCCTTGAGTATATGTCCCTGCAAATTTCCATTCCAAGAATTTTCTTTGCAGCACCAAAATCTTTCATATCAAATTCTTGACTCAATAAAGTTTTCAAAACGATAACAACATCCATGTTCTTCGCAACAATTAATATATCATTAACGTACAGTAACAGAAAAATAAAAGAACCATCATCAAGGCTCTTAACATAGACACAAAAATCATACTCACATCGCTTGTAGCCAATCTTGATCATATAGGAGCCAAACCACTTGTACCATTATCTCAGAGACTGTTTCAACCTATAAAAATATTTCTTCAATCTGCAAACTAAATGTTCATTTACAGGTTGAGTGAAACATTCAAACTAATGCAAGTAGATTTGCTCCTCTAAATCACCATGCAAAAAAGCAGTTTTAACATCCATCTACTCTAAATGCAAATCCCAACTAGCCACCAATGCAAGTACTGCTCGGATTGAAGTGTGCCTAACCACAAGAGAAAAAATTTCATCATAATCAACTCCTTTCTGCTGTGAAAAACCCTTTGCTACCAAACGAGCCTTGAACATCTCCCCCCTCTTTTTCTGTTACTGCTGGTTTCTTCTTATACACCCATTTGCAACCAATCGACTTCTTACCCTCAGGAAGGCGAACTAACTCCCATGTACGATTGTGATTCAAAGACTCCATCTCCTCAAACATGGCAGTCATCCACTTGTCATTTTCCTGACTAGTAACAGCATCATGAAAAGTAATTGAATCATTACTGCTAACAGTAAGTGCAAAAGAGACCAAGTCTTCAAAGCCCAATCTATTCGGAGGCTTTATATTCGACCATCTCACCCTATATCTTGTGAGACTATAATCATGCAAATCAACCGTAGTGGAGCCACAAGAAGTCGGTTGAGAAGTTTCTATTTTCTCAACTGGAAACTGCTCGAAATCCACCACTGTCGTGTCTTTCTTCAAAACTGGATCCCATAACTTGAATCCTTTGACACCTTTCTTGTAACCCAGAAAAATGCACTCCTTCGATTTTGCATCAAGTTTGGATCTCTTATCAGCAGGTACATGCACATAAGCAGGACAACCAAAAATTCGTAAGTGATCAAAAGTAACATTATAACCAATCCATACCTCTTCTGCAACTTTCCCAACCAATGATGCCCTTGGCGATCTATTGATAAGATAACACGCCATGTTAACAGTCTCAGCCCATAAGTGTTTGGGAAGCCCCGCATTCAACCACAAACATCTGGCTCTTTCATTCAACGACCTGTTCATCCCTTCTGCAACACCATTTTGTTGTGGTGTCTTGCGCACTGTAAAATGCCTCTTAATCCAATGCTCCTTACAGAAGTTTAGAAACTATGAATCTGTGTATTCCGTACCATTGTCAGACCGTAAACACTTGATTTTTATTCCTGTTTGGTTTTCTACCTCAGCTTTCCACAACTTGAACTTCTCAAAAACGTCAGACTTCTGTTTCAAAAAATGCACCCAAACTTTCCATGAAAAATCGTCAATAAAAGTAACATAATACCTAGATCCACCCAAAGATGATGTCGTATAAGGCTCTCATACATAACAATGCACATAATCAAGAATCCCTTCAGTTCTGTGCTTCCCAGTCTTGAAACGAACTTTAGTCTGTATACCAAGAACACAATACTTGCTAAAATCGAACTTACAGCTTTTAACATCATGCAACAGATTTCTTTTATGTAATTTAGCCATACCACGTTCACTAAGATGAGCAAGACTCATATGTCACAGTTTGGTAGTATCATTACAGGACTCAACGGAATGAACTCCACCTAGTACTCCCTAACAATCTATAAATATTCCCTACAGTCATCTTTCCTTTCATCACAGTCAAAGCTCCTTTAACAATCCGAATGGTTTCCCTATCCTCATCAGCCTTAGGGATAAAACCATTCTTGTGCAAAGTGTCCAGAGAAATCAAATTTTTCTTCAAATATGGGATATGCCAAACACCACACAACATCCGAACAGAACCATCATACATCTTAATTTTGACATCACCAATACCAACAATATTGCAACATCGATCATCACCCAAATAGACAGAACCAGAATTAACCGACCTGTATGTCGAAAACCATTCCCTATTTGGCGAGATGTGATAAGAACATCCAGAATCAAGAATCCAAGCATCCGTCAATTGAGTCGTTGAAATAGAGAGCATATCACCCTCACTGCAATCAGAATTGTCATCCTCGACCACATTCATAGACTTGGATGAGTTATCACGCTTCTCATCAGTCTTCTTTTTCAACTTCGGACAGTCTCGCTTCATATGTCCCGCCTCCTTGCACTTGTAACAGTGAATTGTCTTCTTATCCCTAAATTTGGACATGAAATTCCGCTTCTCAGACCCTGCCTTCTCTGGCTTCCATCCACGGTCTCGATTACCCTTGACATATAAGCTATCAACTTGAGAGCTTTCCCCTGCATTCTGCTTCCGCTGGTTGTGAGCCAACAAGGCTGCAGTAATCTCCTCAACTTTGATAGTCTCTTTCCCATATATAAGAGTAGTCACCATGTGTTCGTAAGAGGGAGGCAACGAACACAACAGAATCATCGCTTTGTCTTCATCCTCAATTTTCACATCAAACAAAGCCAAATCAGAAACAATTTGATTGAAGACATTCACGTGTTGCGCCAAATCATGATCATCCTGCATCTTCAGCCCATACAGCCACTACTTTAGATACAGTTTAGTCGTTAAGGATTTGGACATAAACTGACTTTCCAACTTCTTCCAAATTTCATCTGGAGACGAAAGATGCATGACGTGATACATGACCTTGTCCGCCAAACATAATCGTATGGTTCCTGCCGCTCGCTGCTGCAATTCTTCCCAATCTTCCTCCTTCATCGATGTCGGCTTTGTAGGTCGCAAAGCCTTTAGGATCCCTTGCTACGCCAACAGGTCATTCACCCTTGTTTGCCATAATCTTAAGTTACCCTGACCATCAAATTTTGCAACTTCGAATTTGGCTCCTAACATCTGATACCATAATCCAATTTCATGTACAATCAGAAATATATATACACACACAGTACAATGGAATCAGTGGTAAAGAACTGAGAAAATACTAAACATTCTAACCGAACTTGAAAACATGTCTCTTCATATCAAATATGTTTTAATTTCTAGCGAAAAATAATCGGCAAATAACTCATGCAAAGTCCCTTGAAGTCAACATTGAATCATTGATAATCAGACTGATTAAACCAAAATCTACTTATCAACCAGCCAATAGTAGTTCCAACCCATATGTACCCAAAAGTAACTAGAAGTACAACTCGATGTTGAGTTATATTGTTCAAAACTAATGTAGAATTAAAGTTCGGCAATATAAGTTTCAAAAGTTTAATAGATAACACCCCTAGAGGCACACCAAACTACAGTGATTTACGTGAAATTCTCTACACTCCACTACAAGCTGACATTACCAGGAGCTAAATCCTCAATTGCAGCCACTATTTTTCCATAAAATGTCAATCAACTAAAACCTTATTTGATTCATTAGATATGAACTTTCATCAAATTGTAATCATAAAATTGTTACCATTTCCATGGTGAATTAGGTGATATGAAGACCAAATGAAGATATTACACATTAATAGTAGAATGTTAATATGGAAATGAACCATGTCCGAATAAAATAGAGCAGTTAAGTAATATCAGGCAGCATTATTAAGTAACTTCGGAATGCTAAGATACTATTTTGACAAGCACTATTAAGTAAATGAGTAGTGACTTTACCAATCCTTGCATCCCTCGTATTGCATACAAGACCACTGCATGCATTGTATGTTAGTGACACAATCAGAAAAGTGAATATTGACAAGTCTATTTGTTTCAGTAAAAGTGCTAAAAGAGACCAACTAGTAAATTGATAAACCTGACGGAACAGATAACGAAAAGTAACCAATCATAAGCGGAAGAAACTTGAGAACAAGAAGTGTGTTCTTTTGGGCTGGATCCGTCTGTCCAAAAAAATTTGAGAGGTTTAAACTTCTAACCAAATTAATATGTCAAATAGGAAAGAAATGGTAGTAATGAAGCTCGTTCTTCTTACCTGGGGAGGCTTCATCAGCTCCATTGAAACATATTGACTGACAACAAGAAGCACGGGTAAAACAAGGTATGCAGCAGTGTCATGCCAACCCAATTGTGGATGGCCATCCTACATGATCATTGTCCCTCATATGTTAGACAACAAAATTAGATGTATGAACCAAAGGAGGAACGTGGTTTCTGCGCCTGGTCACAGAAGCTACATCTCAAAATTTTAATTTTCTATTCTTAATCTAATCTCAGCAGTAAAATGCGGTTATGCCTAGCTTCACACAAATTTAGTAGTTATTATAAATTTATAGTCACATTTTTTTTCATTCATGGAAACCAAAGGTAAATATGCTACGAATTCTTAGGGTAATTATAAAGGTAAAATAAGGAATTCCAAAGAGATTAAAATAATTAAATAAGTAACAACAATCAGCTCTCTAACACCTCTGTAGCATTAAAAATATATATAAAAATAAAATAGAGAATTGTTGACCTTCTAAGTTTGGGAGTAAGTTTATTACCAAAAATGGAATAAGCCAAGAAATCCCAGATCCACTTTGTCGAGCAGCAATTGTAGTTGGCCCACCCAAAGAAGGGATCCAAAAGAAAACTTCAATCAACAATCCCTTTGAGTAAAAAATTTCACAATCAGTAATGAAAGTTATTCAACATGTGAAAGAGTTCTCCAACATCACTCAGAAATCGGAATGTTACGTCAACCACTTTATTACCTCATTTGCCACATTTGAAAGAGCTTGATACAAGCCTATCCAGACTGGAATAGTGGCTAAAGTAGGCAAGCAACCTGCAAAGACAGTTTTTAGATACTGATGAGCATTTTCCTATGAACCATTGCATCGTAAATTCATTATTCACTCTCTTTTATAAAATAATTAGCAATGCTAACATTTAAGTTCAAGTCAATTGCCATACAATCATCTCTACCACCAGTTTTTATTAGCTAAGATACCAACAAAGGGGAAAAACAGCTTTCAAAAGAAGCTAAATTTAATTAAATATGAAAAAAAATAATTTCAAGTGATTAATCAAAAGGATACCTGCCAAAGGATTAACGCCAGCCTGCCTATACAAGCGAGAAGTTTTGAGTTGTATTCTCTCCTAAATAGAACCAAATGAGTGGAAAAAATTAACCTTTCCAATCAACCAAAAAGGAAGTAATCAAATTCAAACTTCAGTATTACCTGGTTTCAATAGTGATTAATCTAAAGATTCCCTTCTTTAGACTCGAAGCTGGCATCATCAGAATTTATGGTGGGATTCAATAGTGTAGAAACGGCTGCATAGACGAGAAGACAGGACAAGAGAGCCACCAAGAGGAGGACAAAAGAGGCGAAACGGGAGTGTTCCGATTCGTTAGGCGAAACGGGAGGACGACAAGAGAGGCGCAGAAAAAGTGAGATCGTCGAAGAAGCGGCAGATGAGTTTGGGTAAACGGCAGGAATGAAAAAATAGGTGAAGGGGGAAAATGAAAAAGGGTTAAAGGGGCGAGACCTAGAAACTGTAAACTTGCGGCATTTGTAAATACAAACTCCACTAATGTACTGATAAATTGCGGCGTTTATTCATAAAATGTCACTAAAGTATGAGTCTTTAACGGTGTTTGTATATAAATGCCACTAAAGTACGAGTCTATCCCGACGTTTGTATACAAATGCCCCTAAGTACAAGTATTTAGCAGGCGTTTTTGCTTAAAGTGCCACTAAAGTGCTAGGTTTTAGCGTTGTCTGTCTACACCGCTAAAACCGTCACGATATATGTATCCTATTGCGGCGTTTGTTTAAAAACGCAACTAAAGAATGATTTATGGTGGTATTTGTTTACAAACGTCACTAAAGTACTTATCTTTAGCAGCGTTTGTCAAATAAACGCCGCTAAAGTATGAGTTTTAGAGGTGTTTGTTTAAAAACGACGTTAATGTTACCATTTAGTGTCGTTTTATATATAAACGCCACAATATGTACAAATTTAGTGGCGTTTACTTAAAAAACGCCGCGACAAACGCCGCTATATACTTGTTTTATGTAGTGGTATAACTCACCAATTCGAAGCCAAGAATCAATTGTTGAGTCGAGATGTATTGCAAGAGAACTACTAGTTGGAATTTGACATTTTTTTCTTATTCGCATTATATGAACGACAATGGAGATGGCATCGTTGGGGAAAAATATTAAAGTTATTATTTTTAGTTAATGTGTAATTATTTTTTTTATTAATATAGGGAAGTTGTTAGCACTTGAATCCGATACATTTAAAAATAACAATTATCCCTTTAATCTCAGAGATAATTTGATTCAAGCTCATGTATAATTATTTTAATTGTTGTCTTTCCCTTTAAAAAGATTTAAATGATAATTGAACTTAAATATATCTTTACTTATATTTAGTATATTTAATTAACCATTATAATTAACTAATCTCACCAAATTAAGATTAATTAAAATACTTAAATACACATTTTTTGACTCTTGTAAAGCTTGAAAAATAAGAGAATTATGCATGTAACTACATTAATCAATTTTAATTGTCGTTGATGTTCAATTGCACCCTTAAAAAATATCCTAATAATATATTTAAAGACAATTAAAAATCTGTAACATATTAAAATCTAATTAAAAATCTGTAACATATTTAAAGAATTTTGGTATATTGAGAGTAAAGTTTATTATTGAATTTAAGAAACTGCTCGTTTTATACGTTGCAAAATCTCATTGTTTTTAAAATGTCAGACCTTTCCATTCACAACAAAGTATTAATAGTATTTTTCTAATTAATATGGAAAAATACAAGATAATATATATTTAAAGATAATTCTCAATCATTTGACATTGAACGTCCACGTCCTAATATTCCTAATGCTCGATCTCAAGACTTCAAAAAATATCAACAATTTCTTTCTCACTTAGATCACTTAATTCATGCAAGTATTAATAGTATAAAAGTTTAAGAAAGTGCAATAAACTAGTTTTAAGGTTTTATAATTTTACATGGAATCTCTTCATGTATATGTTGTGCAATTATATTCTAGAATTATGGTCCAACTGCTTCCTCAAAACCCTTCTCATCAGCTTATTACTAGCTGTTCTTGGAAGAGATGAGACCGTCACAACACGAGAAACCTACATATTATTACTTTTGTAAGATTAACAATGAAATATATATTAAAAAAAAGACATCAGCAACTTACCTTGAACAATGGATTGAGATTCTTTTGGACTGCTGAATTAAAAGATATTCTCAATTGATCCAAGTCTGTTTTTGAGTTCTGGGGATCCTTGAACACTACCACAAGTACCAGTTGCTCCGGGCCGCCACCTGCTGGCGGCACCCCAATGGCGGCTGTCTCAAGTACACTGCTATCGGCTGCATTGCAGATGCGTTCGATCTCAACTGAACTGACCTGTTCAACCGATTATCCAGTTGAGCATCAAGATTGCAAAGACTGGTAAGACTTTTCTCTAGAAAGACAACTGTGAGAATGAGCTCCGGCCACCCGAAACATGACAATGCTTCATAAGGGGTGCAATGCAACAACAAAATCTCAGCCCACAATGACGTGATAACTGAGATTTGGAGGCATGCGCGAGTGACGGCCAAATCCCTATATGTTTGGAAATGTGAACTATGTAGATGGTTACTTTTTTTGATTAATTATGTAGATGGTTACTAGGTGAAAAACAATGGGGATCTTTTTTTCGATAGAAATAGAGTAGGTCTCATTAAAACCCCCCTTCATAACCTCCATGTTACAACAGTAATGTGAAGGATATTGGAAGGAGGAAAAGAGTGCCTAATAATTTATTAATATAAGAATAATACAAAGCCAGATCCTAACAAACTTCTGTTACAACATAACACTTAAAACACCAAACTAACTACACTAATACAACCAACTCAGAAACGTAACAACCTAAACACACAATCTATTAATCAACCTATTCTTTCTTTAGTTAATTTATCCGATTCCCAATTAGCAGCTCTCAAAATATGCCTAATGATTCCCAATTAGCAGCTCTCAAAATATGCCTAATGGGGATCTTTATATAGTTGGAATACTTAAACCTCAAACCACAAGGTTATATATTCCATATGTTCAAACAAATACCTTGATACCCCCGATGTTCATTGTATCATCAGCCCGACCGTGTGCGCGATAGTATCCTCTAGAGGTGCGCTCAAAGACATCCCCATGCTTTCGGAGAACCTGCAAAGGTAAATTCAGACACAAAGGTTTTACTTGAACGAAAATACACTAAAACTAAGGCATTTAAGGTAATGATAGTTCGTTCATATAGTATCCGAACACTTCATTTTTTTTTTCCTTTGGCGTTCGTATTCCACATGTGTATGTCACATTCAGGGTTAAATATGTGGGGTATAATCCTCCAAACATAGATTGGCTTTACCCTATACATTTCCTAAATCCATTAACTATGAAGTACATGTACAATCAGCGCATTTTCGCATTGCACTGGGTCGAGCATTTCAAATAATCTTCCACCATTAAGACTGCATTAGAACTACAGATCATACAGATGATAATGCACCCAAAGTAAAATTAAAAATTTGTTTAGAACAACAAATTCTTCACCAGTCCATTCCATGTAGCCATTCCTTTAAAGTAAACATCGTAGTGACAGGCATTTAGCAGCATGCTTGAAGAACCGAACATAAGAGGGCCAAGGGCCAGTTCTCCCATCCCCGGAGCATCCTCAGGCTTAAAATTAAACAAAGTTCAAGAAATTAGTTGCATTTTATTTTACATTTGTACTTAAACACGTATACTTCCCCCATCAAAATACTTCAGTAACGACAGTTGGATTGGCGCTTACAATAGGATGGCCATCGTCACCGAGAATAAATAAGCGGCAACCCATAACAGGTGTACTGAAAGCAGCTAATGATTGGGGCTGTAGAAATGATCCAGAAACAAAACCACCACCAATTTCAGTCCCACCACAATATTCAATGACCGGTTTGTAGTAAGCTCTTCCCATCAACCATAGGTATTCATCTGCATTAGAAGCTTCACCAGTGGAGCTGAAGCAACTGCAAGTTTCAGAAAAACAGCAGACATAGCCAGGAAAAATCAATATTGGATAAAAACCTGAAGCAAGTCAACTTTCTAATAAAAACCCGGAGCAACTGCCAGTTTCAGAAAGTGAATGCTTACATTGTCGCTAGTGATTTGATCATATGAAGACAAACAAGCTTGAGTAAATATGAAAACTTACCGGATGGACGACCAATCACTTCCAGCAATACAGTTTGTACTTTTCCAAGTGCGAACAATGGTAGGGACGACACCAAGCATTGTTACTTTTGCATCCTAGGCAAGTTTAGTGAAAATAAGTAAAGTTCAAGACAAAAATTATATAAATTCCTTCATACGCACTCCATTGGTATATGTGTGCGCGTGAAGATTCTATAATCTGACTATACAAGTCAAGGTTTGTCATTCTCTAGTGAAACAACTGTGAAAAAGACCATTCTGACAATATTTACAATAAATTACTACCTGTACAAACTTGGCAAAGCCAGAACTAAGGGGAGATCCATTATATAGTGCCATTGAAGCACCATTTAACAATGAAGCATACACTAACCAAGGACCCATCATCCATCCAAGGTTTGTAGGCCATGCAACAACATCACCTCTGCGGATGTCCATATGGCACCATGCATCAGCAGCAGCTTTGAAAGGAGTTCCATTAGTCCATGGAATTGCCTTAGGCTCACCTGCACAAGAAATAGGTTCAATTAGCCCATCAATTTCATTTTTTCCTTCAGCCTGCTTTGAATTATGGAAATTTAGCTCGAAAATGTGAATTTAACTTCTTGGCCCTATCCTACTATTCTTTGGTTTAACAACTTTGACAGTAGAATAACTAACGGTCGACTAAACTTTTAAAATTAACTTACTCTCATTTCTCGATATCTAGCCCTAAATTTGGTCATCACTTGGTGTGGGATGCAGAAAAAAAGTAACTGGTGCAGGAATCTAGCAAAGGAAGAAAAAACCTAGGTTGTAATACTCAAAACTATCATGCCTGATAATAACTCAGAAGACACAATGGTAAGTATTTTCCTTATTGTCGTTTCTCCTACAATCAAAGGTAGGAAATTGGTCTCTTAAATTTTATTGGTATATACCCACATATAAAATTGCCAGGTGAGGTCACTTGATTGAACATACATCAAGCAAGCACAAGAGTTTCCATTAATTTACATTTGGGACACTACTCCAAACATAACGACACCATTTTTCTCCATACCATGACCCATCTGGAAACATTCTATCGACAAATATTTGATGTCACTATGCTAAGACGAACATTTGGTAATTTTTCTTGAACTGAATTAAGCTTTATTATGTTTAAGACGTAAAAATTACACTATAAGTATAACCATGATTTCAGGCCACCCCTTCTCATGAAATTCCATTTTGTTTGAAAGAAATAAGAAGATTTTTTTAAGTTACCTGTAGTTCCAGATGAGAAAAGGATATTTGTAAATGCCTCTATTGGTTGTTCCACTGCCTTGAACACATCTCCCCTGAAATTTGAGATCAAAAATTCAAACAAGAAAAAAAGGGAAGATACAACTTAAAGTCTTGCAGATATTTTTACGTGCAATTAATGAAGAAATCAATAATCAAGTGATTTTCCGATAAATACAATTACATGTTAGATGTTACAATAATATCAACCACTGTTAAAAGTCGAATAATTCAATGTAAAACTCTTATATTTTCTATAGGGTTTGTTACATATTTATATACAAGCTATAATGTTAACTTAGGAAACTCTTAAACTAGGAAAGTAACTAATTCTAGGGAAGCATACAATCCCTTAAAGTTAGGGACTGTAACTAGTAAAAGAATATTCACAAAATCCTACATAATATTTCTAATTTTGTAATCTATTTTCTGACACTCCCCCTCAAGCTGGGGAATGGATGTCCTCCATCTTCAGCTTGCTTGCTAACTTCTGAGAATACTTCCCAGGTAGTCCCATGGTTAGTACATCTGCAACTTGATCTCCAGTGGACACAGAGGGAGTACAAATTAGTCCACTGTCAACTTTTTCCTTTATGAAATGTCTATCCACTTGAACATGTTTTGTCCTATCATGTTGAACTGGATTATGAGCAATATAGATTGTTTATTTATTATCACAGTACAACTTCATTGGTCCTTCCCATTTGATCTTTAAATCCTCCAAAATAATTTTAAGCCACAACAATTTACAAATCCCAAGTGCCATTGCTCTAAACTCAGCTTCTGTGCTGGATCTAGCCACCACATTCTGCTTTTTGCTTCTCCATGTCACTAAATTTCCTCCAAGAAAGGTGCAATATCCTGAAGTTGATCTTCTATCAACCATGGACCCTGCATAATATGCATCAATATAGGCTTTCAAAGTCAAATTTTCTCCCTTTTTAAACAAAATTCCTCTGCCTGGTGTACCCTTCAAATACGGTAGGATTTGAGTTACTGCCCTTAGGTGTGATTCTTTAGGATTGTGCATAAATTGGCTCACAACTCGAACTGCATAAGCAATGTCAGGTCTGGTGTGTGATAAGTAAATCAGTCTTCCCACAAATCTCTTATATGAGCATTTATTAACTATTGCATCCACTATTGAATCTTTGAGTTTGTGTTTAACTTCTATTGGCGTTTCTGCTGGCCTGCATCCTAGTTTGCCAATTTCTGTCAACAAGTCTAGGGTGTATTCTGTTGGGATATGAAGATTCCTTACTGTGAATGTGTCACTTCAATACCAAGGAAGTATTTTAGTCTTCCAAGATCTTTAACTTTGAATTTCTTCACCAAAGACTTCTTTAAGTCACCAATTCCTTTCAAATCATCACTTGTAAGTATGATATAATCTACATAAACCAGTAAAGCAGTAGCTCCCCTGAAGAGGAATATTTCACAAATAAAGTATAAATCACCTTAACTTTGTTTGTAGCCCAGTCTTAACATCACTTTGGTAAATCTTCCAAACCAGGCCCTCGGGAACTGCTTTAGCCCGTACAAGGCATTCTTTAATCTACACAAAGCCTGCCCACTACTTGGACCAAATCCAAGTGGGATGTCCATGTAGACTTCCTCTTAAAGATCCCCATGCAAAAATGCATTCTTAATGTCATATTGCTGTAATTTCCATCCTTGATTGGCAACTAATGACAACAAAATTCTCACAGTGATCATCTTTGCAACAGGAGCAAATGTCTTGAGGTAGTCTATCCCATAAGTTTGAGAGTACCCTTTATTCATTAACCTTGCTTTGTACCTCTCTAAAGAACTGTCTAATTTGTATTTTACTGTAAACACCCATCTACACCCCACTGTTTTCTTCCCTTCTAGTAGTTTCACCAAGTCCCATGTTTTGTTCTTCTCAAATGTTTCCATCTCAGCTTGCATGGCATTCTTCCAATTCTCATTTTCTAATGCCTCGGACATATTTTTAGGAATGTTAATGGTATTTAGGCTAATAATGAAGGCCTTGTGGTTGCAATATAGGTTCTTGTAGGAAATGAATAGGTAAAGAGGGTTTTTTGTGGTGCAAGTTCTTTTTTCTATTCTAATTGCAATAGGAAAATCAAAATCCCTGTGATCAGAAACATAATCATATTTTTCAGTGGCATTTGGATCAGAGATAGATCCGGTAGTTACCTCGGTTTGTATAGGAGAGGAAGGAGATAATTGGACTTGCACTGGTGTCTTCTTCCTCGAGTAAACCAACAGAGAACGAGTACTGTCTTGAGTTTTTTTATGGGGGTATTAGGATCAGATTGTAAGGTGGTAGGCTAGTCAAAACCAGGTTCTTGGTCAAAACCAAGTTGTTGGACAGGTTGGATAGGCAGATAGACAGAAATAGGTTGCTGGGCTGGTGCAGGAAAGTCAATGAAAGGTTGAAGTAGGAAATAATCCCTGTCCTTATCTTCCCTGAATGAAATCTCCCCCTGAAGATAAGGGCGAGTAAAATAGCTTTCCTTTTCTGCAAAAGTAACATCAGTCGAAACAAAGTGTTTCCCTGTAGATGGATGATAGCACTTATACCCCTTTTGAGTGGAAGAGTAACCAAAAAAATATATTTTTTAATGCTCTTGGATCAAGCTTGCCCCTATTTTGGGAGTGTATATGAACAATGGAAACACAACCAAATATTTTCGGTTTAAGGTTAAGTGAGGGGCTGAAATTTGAAAAGAAATTGGTTAGGATTTTAATAGGCCTTTCAGATTCAAGGACTTTAGTGGATAGTCTATTTATCATATAGGTGGCAGTTAACACAGCTTCCCCCAATACTTTTTAGGGACATTTGTTTGAAATAAATTTGTTTTGGAAAGAATATGGTCATTCTTTCTTTCTGTCACACCATTCTGTTGAGGCATATTCACACAAGAGGACTCGTGTATGATGCCTTTCTCTAGGAAATAAGGTGATAGGACTTGGTTGAAATAGTCTTTAGCATTGTCTGATCGAAACCTTTTTATGTTTGTCCCAAATTGATTCTTAATCATCGTATAAAAGGTTTCAAAGGTAGAGGTTACATCCGATTTCTGTTTTAAAAGAAATATCCATGACACTCGGGTACAATTATCTATGAATGAGACAAATCATCAGGCCCCATATATATTTGGAATAGTGGATGGTCCCCAAATATCACTGTGAATAAAGGTAAAAGGATTAGAGGCTTTTTTATTACTTACTGGAAAAGAAGTTCTTTTATGTTTTGCAAGTTCACATGTCAAAATGGAATTCTTCAATATTTAAGGATTTGAACAAAGAGGGAAACATAAGCTTTATAACTTTAAAGGATGGGTGACCAAGGCGGAGATGATGAAGCCATATTTGGTCCTTATTGTTTTTGAATTCTAATAAAAGTGAAAAAGGTGGGGAGTTCAGGGCACTGACTTGTCCACTAGGGTCTTCAAAATAATATAGGCCATTTACTTCCTTAGCATGTCCAATCATCTTCTTCGTTCCTTGTTCCTAAAAAATGCATTAAGAGGAATGATAAAGAACACTGCAGTTAATGTCCTTGGTAATTTTCTGGATAGATAGAAGATTAGTAAATAGCTTTGGTACGTGAAGGACATTTTTTAATGTAAGGGTTTTGCTTATAACAATATCTCCTTGGCCAGTAACTATTATCATTGTACCATATGCAATTGTTATTTTTTTTGTTGCTAGAACTGGGTGTATAGGTGATAAATCTTAGTGAAAAATTGGTCATATGGTCTGTAGCTCCTGAGTCAATTACCCAGGAGCTTTAGGTAGGTAAAAACGAGGCCTTAGAGTTCTGAGAAGAGGATATACCTGAGAAAACCATACTACATGTACCTGTAAAAGGGGTGTTTTCTAGTAACCCTCGCAAACTCTTTAGTTTCTCTATTTCTTCTATGTTAAACTCAACAGGTTGTTTTTTAGAGTCCTCAACCAAGTGTTTGGTTGTTTATGTTCTTCCTTGTCCCCTTGATGATCCTTTTTTTTAATTTCTATTTGTTGTTTGTGGTTTCCCATGAAATCTTCAACACTTCTCTTTTGTGTGGCGAGGTTTCTTGCAGTAAGTACACCATAAAGAGTCCCTATTCACTGTTTTTGCTTCTTATGGTTTATTTTCTTTAGTAATATGTTGTTGCAAACCAATTTTCCTCTCGGTTACAGCTCTACTGACTAAGACTGAACTCTCCACTTGGTTGCTTTCAATCATTACTCCTTCTCTTCCTTCCTCAGCACGAATGATTGCAATAGCTTCATTTAGTGAGGGCAGGTCTTTCTTTCCAAGAATCTGAACTCTCGCTGCATCGAATTCAGTATTTAGTCTAGCAAGAAAATCGTAAATTCTATCTTTTTCAACAAACTTCTTTAAGACTGCTACATCTTCACTACACCTCATTTGGATAAACTGGAAGTGATCCATCTCCTACCAAAGATATTGCAGTAGTTTAAAGTATTTTGTGATTGATTTGCTTCCCTGCTTGGTGGATGAAATCTTGCTCTTGATTTCATAAATCTGAGCAGCATCTTTAACCTTTGAGTAAGTTTGTTTTACAGCCTCCCATATATCTTAGGCAGTATTGAGAAACATGCAAGTATCACTGATCTCTGGCACATTGAATTCCATTACCAGGACATAACTAATGAATCTTGTTCATCCCAAGAATCAAACCTAGGATCTCCCTCCTTAGGTTAAGTTCCAAGAAGATGGCTTAACTTACCTGTACCCTTTAGGAATGTACAAACTAGCTAAGACCATTTAAGGTAGTTTTCTCCATTCAACTTATAGGCAGCTTGTATATTTTGCAAATCACCAACCGGGTTAGAATAACTCCCTTCATTCATTGTGCCTTCCTGAACAGTTTCAGAACTGCTGGTATCGACCACCTCAACCATGTTTTTATTGGGCTAACAATACACACTTAAGGGAAGGGTTTAGGGAAAAGAAAAGGTTGCTAAACCGAGATTTACAAGACCCAAAAATGAGCTTAAAACAGCTCTGATACCAAGTTAAAAGTCAAGTAATTCACTGTAAAACTCTTATATTTTTTGTAGGGTTTGTTACATATTTATATACAAGCTATCTTAACTTAGGAAACTCTTAAACTAGGAAAGTAACTAATTCTAGGGAATGATACAATCCCTTAAAGTTAGTCATTGTAACTACTAAAAGAATATTCACAAAATCCTACATAATATTTCTAATTTAGGAATCTATATTATGACAGCCACTTAATAGAACAATATGAAAAGTGGACGAGAATTTGGTTAATTTGGTCTAATTCGTCTCAATAAATACTGATTATTATAATATCTAAAGTTTGCCTTTTCCAATGACATTATTTTGAGTGTTTGAGATGCCATAATTTGCAAACTATAGAATATGGAGTTTCAAGAAGCTACTAGAGAGAGTTGCCTCTCACTAAAGAAGATTGTTTTAATATTATCAACATCCAAATATGCCCATTGCATCTGAAAATTGCTACGAAGGCACACTGCATAACTACCTAAGCCTAACAAACTTTTTATTTCATCCCAGCTAGGAATATTCTCCGACACGTAACTATTAAAGTAAATATACTTAAAAAATCCACAATTATTAAAGTACAAGTCTTGGTTCTTTCCAATTAGAAAAACAACATATCACTTCTGTAATAGAGAAAATGAAAGATATCTCATGAACATCGATCAGATTTGGTTTCAAAGCAAGCTATACAAACTTCCATAGATTCTCTTCCAGAAAAATGAAGGTAGAGGGATACAAATGACTATTACCCAAAAGCAATAGAGTGCTTACTTGAATTTTTTAACTCTTTCTAGAAAATCAGGCCATGAAATATCTCCATCACGCAACTTAATGTTGAAACTAGAGCTTCTGGCTGGGATAACAATGGCCATTGGAGCCTGAGCCTCCACAACTCTACTGCAAAATGGAAGCTACATTGTGAGATAACTTTTTTTATTAGAAATATAAATATAGAGAACACACTGCCTTAAACGGTTGAGCACAAAGTTTAAAGAACTTCACCTATACAAAGGTAGTCTTTTTTCACCACGAATAATAAGATCCTGAAATAGAACCACCAAAGAATTAAACTGAGAAGACCAAGTACATGCACTTAATTGAGGATCTGGAAAGATTAGAAAACAAAAAACTAAGGAGTAAGTCAGAGATAAGAGATTCACTAAAGGAAGGGGCACAAAGTAACAATATTAAACAAGTTTGTGAAAAGTGTTCTAGATATAGCATCAATAATGATACTCTCATCTAAGATGAACTATCAATAGATCAAACAAAAAAAAGTAAAATAAAGGGGAAAAGAGCTGCTAACTAAAATACTTGAGCATGTTGATCAAACATCTCAATACCAATAAAAAAAAGAGAAAATCGCCTCAGTGACCAAAAATGTCTTATAATATACGATTTTAACCAACTTTTTTTGAATTTGCCAAAATGACTAACAAAATCGCAATGCGAAATAAAAATCGCAACGCGATCTCCAGAATTGCAAATCAATTCCCAGAATCGCAACGCGATTATGAAGAATCGCAATGCGATAGTACAAATTCGCATTGCGATTTTCCAGAATCGCAACGCGAATATGAAAATCGCAACGCGAACATATAAATCGCAACTTGATTCTGACTATCGCAACAAGTATCCGTAAAATCGCAACGCGTATCCGTAAATCGCAACGACAATACGTAAAATCGCAACGCGTATCCGTAAATCGCAACGAGAATACGTAAATCGCAACGCGTATCTGTAAATCGCAATGAGAATACGTAAATCGCAATGCGTATCCTTAAATCGCAACGACAATACGTAAAATCGCAACGCGTATCCGTAAGTCGCAACGCGATATTTAAAGCGCCATTACAATCGCTACGCGTATTTTATTTTCAAATTCTAAACACGAATATTAATTATCGGAACACTGAACCGTCCACAGTATATCCCGTAATCGCAACTCATAACCTAAAAACCTAAAATCACAACTCAGTCCCATCTCCATCTCTCACTCTCTACGGCAAAATCCGTCCCCATCTCCGAAGATTTCCGTCCCCATCTCCCCCTCACAACCATTCACGGTCAGAAATCCCTCACAATCATTCAGAAATAAAAAATCAACCTCCGAGGGTTAGTTTTTTTAATTATTTTTATTTTAAAATTTTTGCATTATTTTAGGTTTTTCATATTGAAATTGATGATAAGTTTACTGGTAATTTCAATAATAGATTAACCATTTCACTTAGATTTCTTATTAAATTCATTCGATTGTTGTCAATACTGCTAAACTGTTTAGTCTTTAACCCTATGAAGTTAGTATTTGTATTTGTTTTGTCTTTTGGTTGAAGTAATGCAATCCATTAAAGTTTTAATTTGCAGAAGAATAATAGTTTCTAAACTTAAAATCGCAACATGAAAATGAAAATCGCAACAAGAAAATGACTATCGCAACGAGAGAAATGAAAATCGCAACGCGAAATGAAAATCGCAACGAGAGAATCGCAACGCGAAATGAAAATCGCACGTTGCGATTCTCTCGTTGCGATTTTAATTTCGCGTTGCGATTATCTCGTTGCGATAGTCATTTCCGCTTTGCGATAGTCATTCTCTCGTTGCGATTTTCATTTCAACTAAAAGACAAAACAGTGTTGCAAATTTTAGTTTCAAGAATAAACTACTACTCTTTATGTTTATTGTTTTTTGTATATCTTCACAGTGTAGTTTTTGGTATATCTAACTTGGTATGTTTATTGTTTTTGTAGAAATTTTTTTCGGCTTTATTGACATTAAGGAATAAAGTTAGCCTAACTACTACAATTGCTTCGAAGCTTTCACTTGCACAAAGAAAATTGTTTGAGGAAACCTGCTTCGAGCCATGGATGAGAGTACAGCATCCGGGTGGAGATGCTAATTTGACCCATTTGTGGCTTCAGACCATGACTAGCGATCTACATGACAGTATACAACGTGGTGAGGAAGAGATATGGTTTCATTTTCCACCGGCGTATACTTGTTTTGGGCGGAAGGAGTTCTGCTTAATCACTGGTCTACGATTCGAACACGATGATGTAGGCCGGTACACTCGTCATAGCACCCGCCCATCATAGTTATCCCGGTTTTTTCCTGATGAGTCAATAGAGAAGCCGAACTTACACGTCGACGACCTGAAGAAATTGTTTAATAAGAAAGATGGTTTTACACGGATGAATAACGTCGATGTTGTCCGAGTATGCCTTCTAGTACTTTTGTATGCCGGCGTTTTAGACAGAGAGGCCAGACAACCTATTCCTCAGGAGCTAATATTATTGGTAGAGGACCTAAATGCATGGAATCTGTTTCCGTGGGGTTCGTATATATGGAAAGCTACTTGGACTAAGTTGTCGTCTGCTTTTGATGACCGCAAAAGTATGCGTGGCGATGGGTCGAAATACACTTTGTCAGGCTTTGTTTGGGCCTTTAAGGTAAGAATTTCTATATAATGTTTTCAAAATTATAATTAATTATTTAACAATTACTAATGTTTGTTATTATATTGTTTGTAGATTTGGATATTCGAGGCTTTCCCCAGCATGCAGACATATGCATTAAAAACTTCAAATGATATTCTTAGGGCTATTTCCTTGAAGAGGAAACGTCTGTTGGATTGGGAACACTTAATACCATATGCGACAATAAATAATGTAAGTTAACACAAATACTATCATATATAAACAAGTTATTAATAGTAGACGTTTAACTTTATTTGAGTTTTTATATTTTTAGGAGGCCAACACTCCATTACAGAGACTGACACCCACGGAGGCTGAGCTTGCCACTGATTGGAGGCAAGCTAGTCAGCGTTTTTTTGATGGCACGAATGATAAGCAGCCTCCACTTCGAGAGCCATCACCTATCCCGTCACATCATCGAGCCTCTTCTCCACCATCACCTCATAATAGGCGACCGGCAAAGATGCCACGACTTTTATCTCCCTGTTCTCCACCTCCACGAGATGAGTCAAGGGAGTTACGTGATTCGGTCAACGCCTTGCGTGAGGAGATCGGTACTCTACGCGATAACGATGGTGCATGGCGTGTGGAGGTGTCTACTTTACGTGGTGAGGTTGCCGCTCTACTTGAGATGGTAGTATCGTTGCAGAATGAGGTTCATACTCTACGCAACGAGGTAAGTTTAAGATTTTTCATATTTAACTTGATGATAAATTTACTCGTAATTTCACTTAGATTAACCATTTCACTTAGATTGCTTAGTAAATTTATTCGGTTGCTACCAATTCTGCTAAATTGTGTATTCTTTAACACTGTGAAGTTAGTATGTCTTTTGTTTTGTCTTTTGGTTGAAGTAAATTTATTCGGTTGCTGCCAATTCTGCTAAACTGTGTATTCTTTAACACTATGAAGTTAGTATTTGTCTTTGTTTTGTCTTTTGGTTGAAAGTAAATTTGTTCGGTTGCTGTCAATTCTGCTAAACTGTGTATTCTTTAACACTGTGAAGTTAGTATTTGTCTTTGTTTTGTCTTTTGGTTGAAAGTAAATTTGTTCGATTGCTGTCAATTCTGCTAAACTGTGTATTCTTTAATACTCTGAAGTTAGTATTTGTCTTTGTTTTGTCTTTTGGTTGAAGTAATGCAATCCATTCAAGTTTCAATTTGCAGAAGAAGAAATAGTTTACTTTCGCAACACGAAACTTAAAATCGCAACGTGAAAAATGACTATCGCAACGCGAAATGAATCGCAACGAGAAATGAAAATCGCAACGAGAGAATCGCAACCCGAAATGAAAATCGCAACGACAAAATCGCAACGGGAAACCAAAATCGCAACGCGAAACTATAATCGCGTTGCGATTTTTATTTCGCATTGCGATTCTCCCGTTGCGATAGTCATTTTCGCATTGCGATAGTCATTTTCGCATTGCGATAGTCATTTTCGCGTTGTGATTTTAAGTTTCAGATTCTATTCTTCTTCTGCAAATTGAAACTTGAATGGATTGCATTACTTCAACCAAAAGACAAATACTAGCTTCACAGTGTTGAAAATTTAAGTTTCAAGAATAAACTACTACTCTTTATGTTGTCATTGAACCTGCACTAAACCTATATGTTGTCTTTTTAAATGTTTATATAAGTGCTTACTTCTGGAATGTTATTTGATGCATTTTGTGAACAATGATATAATAATGACTTGGGTGAATACCGTGCAAGTTTGAAATATATTTGTCTTTGTTCTCACTGTTTAATATCATGTCTGTTTATTTACTGATTTATGTATTAATTTATTTTTAGCGGCCCGCTAAGGTGGATGCTCTACGTCGGGTTTTTCTTGCAAGACGGAGTTCACGCATCAGACGACGTGCACGTGCCATTACATCTCCGTTCACCCCAATAGTGCGAAGAATCCGTAAGAAAAAGCCCGACTCACCTGTCATCGTTCAAGAAGCCTTCCCTATCGTTCAAGAGGCCCCTATCATCCCTCAAGAGTCCCCTCCCACCGTTCAAGAGGCCACTGTCATCGTTGAAGAGGTCTCTCCCAACATTCTAGAGCCCGATTCACACGGCGTAATATATCGAATTATTGAGAAGCATCCTCACGTGCCGGACATGATGGATGACTGTTGGCTTTCGTATAAGTTACCGGCCAGTACCATTCCGGCAGATGAAGTGGAGTGGAAACAACTACCGGAAACAATTCTGGATAATACCCTTTGGGCTAAGACCGCAGTTGATTTTTATCTACATGAGCGGAGCCAAGGGTGTTACGCTGACATATACAAACTCAACGATGATATGCATTTGTTGATTGAACGGTCTTGGTGGGGTGTATTATTAGGGGTTGAAGACAACAGCTATTTCGATGGGGGGTAAGTCTTATATTTCTTATATTTCAGTTTGATTAATTTTTTTTAAAATTTATGTAATTCACTAATATGTCTTTTTTTGTAAAACAATATATTGATGCATGGGTGACACGTCTTCTAATTGTAAGGAAATTGAAGAAAAAATTAAAAAAAACGCGATATACAATTATGCCGATGTCTTTTCACGTAGTTCACTTGAAGA